ACAGCCACTAAGAGGGAAGTGGATGTTGACCAAAACAGTCCCAATCTTGACTAGGGCAATAGTTAGTCAAATGTAAAAATTTGCATGTCAAAATTCATAGAACCATACAACTAAAAAGAGAACACTCTACCATATGTAAATTATACTTCAATTAAAAATAGATTAAAGGCTGGGCGCGGTGGCTCAAGCCTGTAATCCCAGCACTTTGGGAGGCCGAGACGGGTGGATCACGAGGTCAGGAGATCGAGACCTTTCTGGGTATGCTACGTTTTAACTGAAAGTATCCTTAAAGGCGGGGCGCGGTGGCTCACACCTGTAATCCCAGCACTTTGGGAGGCCGAGGCGGGCGGATCACGAGGTCAGGAGATCGAGACCATCCTGGCTAACACGGTGAAACCCCGTCTCTACTAAAAAAAAAAAAAAAAATAGCCGGGCGAGGCGGCAGGCGCCTGTAGTCCCAGCTACTCGGGAGGCTGAGGCAGGAGAATGGCATAAACCCGGGAGGCGGAGCTTGCAGTGAGCTGAGATCCGGCCACTGCACTCCAGCCTGGGCGACAGAGCAAGACTCTGTCTCAAAAAAAAAAAAAAAAAAATAGATTAAAAAGAAATTACAGCCTCCTCAGAACACTAATGAAAGCCTGATTTAAAAAAAAAAATGAAAAAAGACACCCAACTCTGCACCAGCTCCCTCTTCCTCCTTCTGAGTCATGAAGCAGTCACCATTTGAATGGTAAACCTACCTCCCCTGGGCCAGGAACATGGACTTTGTGTGTCACTGTGCACCTGCAGGTGGATACTGTCGCTCTGTCCTCTCCACACAGGAATGCAGCCTTCCCTGGGCCACTGTGGGCTGGAAGCAGGAGAGCCGGGACTAGGCCCTGGTCTGCATGCCTTTCAATCTGTCCTCTCTCCCCTTCTACACACATCCACATTGGGTGAGTTTTGACCTTTGGAAGCCCCACTCTCTAGGCAGATAGAGCCCCAGGAATCCAGTCATTTCAAGTGCTATGTTGCAGCAGGTGGATGCTCATGGTGTCTTTTGACAATAGGAAGCCACATGTTTTTATTTGTAGAAAGTCAATACTCCCATTCTAGGCATTTTTTTACATAAGTTCTCCCTCATTTCAGAAAGTGCCCCCATTGTTAAGCACTAAAGTCCATTCCTTCACAGGATTGAGGACCCTGCCTTTCAGTTGATATAAAGTTGATGAAAGTTGGAAAGAAGGACATGATCAACCCCTCCCTGAAGAGCAGAGGCATGTGAGCCTCAATTTCACAAGGACCTCAGAGCTTTTGATAGGCTATTTTTACTAGGCAGACCCAAGCCCCTCATTAGAGCTTGCACCACTGACCCCTGGCTCTTAGGGCAAAGTCCTCATCCTTGAGGTGGCATAGAAGGCGTTGGGCTCCTACTCATGTGCCTGCCAGTGCCTCACATGCCCCTGTGGTCTGTAGGTCACATTGAGCCCTTCGGTGCCTTCCACTGCAGGCCCTTTGCACATGCTGTTCCCTTTGCTTAGAGCTTACAGGAATACCCTGTGCCCCGCCGCTTCCTTTCCTAGTTAATGCCCAGGTACCCTTCAGAGGAGGTCATCTCCAGCCATTTTCCTGGGGGAAGCCTGCTCTGAGTCAAGGGCAGCTTCTTTTATCATCTCTTAGAAAGCATATTCCTTTCCCGTATAGTGCTTATTTAGGTTTAGAACTGTACTCTCATTTCTGTGCTTATTTGATTAATGCATATCTTTTGCCACTAAACCTCCAAGCTCCATGAAGGCAGAAGCTGCCTTTGTAGATTCATCATTTTGTCTCAAAACCTATTGCACTGCCTGAGAGAAGCACTCAGCAAACTGTCCGCATGTATACTCACCTGCATGCTAGTCAGCAAGACAGTTTCCAGGGTGTGCTGCTGGTTGACGGCGTACACCATGGTGGAGCTGTCTCAGAAAACACAGCCCTAGGATTCTAACATTTGTCCTTAAGGAATCCGAGGCTATGCTGTCATCTACTTATGGAATGAGAATGTGGGAGACAGCGGTGATTCACTACCTCCATCTTCTCAGAGAAGAGTGTCAATGCCCACATCTGCTAGGATTCATGTCTGGTTTCTGAGGCAGTGCGGCCGAAACATGCTGCATTTAGTTGATCCTTTTCATCCACCTCTAGCACCTAAGGAATGCTAGCTATGATGCCTTTAACGAAAGTGAAGCTAATATTTCACAGACAAGTGCGAAAGTCATATGCATCTTTGCTCACAGATCAGAGCTGACAAACTGGGCAAGTATCCTGTTGAGTGAGAGCCTGTCATGCCCAAATACCATCTTCCCTGACCATCTGGGAAAACGGAACACCTGACTTGTCATGGAACGGTAAATTAAAGACAATTTTTAAAAGAAAAAGCAAGATCTCTGATGGACGGAGGGATGAGAAAAGGCTTTTTCCACCTGTGGCAGAAAATGTTTTTATTCACAACGATGTCAATAGCTATGACTCCTGGCCTTAGTAGGTAGAACAAGATGACCATCGAAGCAAGTCTCCCAGGCAGGTGACGTATGTCAGTGGCTTTCAGGATCCTGGCTGTATGGCTCATGACTTCAATTCATTGCAATCTTCTGTACACAAACTACAAGGGAGGGTTTCATGCAACCAGTTGTTACAAAAGCCTGGGGTTGATGGAAGTAAAGCTGGCAGCACTGTTGATGGGCTCTAAACACAGCCCCGACAAGTGTTCAGGGTGCCTTGCTGCTGCCAGGGAATTGAAAAGGACTTGAAGCTGAAGAAGAGAGCAGTGGGTGGGCTCACCCCCCACCTCCACCCCGCCTCCATCCTCATGACTTATGACTGCAGAGTCAAGGGCAGTGTTCACGTTCATTTTCCAGCGGTGATGGAAAGAGGACTAAGCAGAGAAGTGTGCTATCTCCCACCCTCCCACCATCCGATTCGTGTGTCCCCCCGGTGTCTCTGCCAGCAGAGTTTACAGCTGGAAAGAGCTCAAAACTTGAAACTTCCCTTGGTGCATATTTCAAGTGGGAAACTGAGGTTTAGAGAAGTTAAATCACTGCTCACGGGGTAGCTGAGGCTAAGGTGTCCTGCCTCTCAGAGACTTTTCTTTCTATCACCTGTAGCTGCCTCTCCTTCAACCTTCATCAACTAAGTTAAAAGGTTGACGTTGCTAAATAGAATGTGTCTTATTCCATGCTAATCTGGGCAGCCACACACTAGTGTTGCCAAGACTCCCGATAGGTGCCACGCCTTGCTTATCAGAGAGTTTGCCCAGTCTGATCACTGGGACACTAAAGAAAGGATCCCCCAACCCCACATACAAGCTGGGAAGAAGCTCTGGTGACCACTGCCAGTGCTGTGAACCCCTCACCTCACTGCTATCAACCTGGGTGGTCCTCGGAGTTCCGTTTAACCACATTTATCATATGCCCATCCTGGCAGGCACTGTCAGACACTGAGGAACAAAGAAATGGTGCAGTTTAAAAAACCTCCAAGTAGTTATGGTTACACAAGACCCACAGACATGGAGACTGTCTTACTCCAGATGCCCAAGGTATCCCTGGTGGGTACCGACAAATTAGGGATGGTTGATAGCTCTGTGTGTGTGCATGTGTGTTTGCAGGATCAGAGGGTTCTGTGACTTAGTTTTGAAACTTCCATTCCACAGTCATGTCTCTAGTACGTAGTACAGACATGGCTACGCATTCTCTCAGAGTGGTCTGTGAGGCTGACCACTCTGAACAGCACAGGGTGTTGCCCTTTGGCTGTCTCTCCCCGTCCCCACACCATCTTCCCCATAGCACCAGAATGATTGTCCAGAATCAGGCTGGCTAAACTCAGAGGTAGTCTCTGAGTGCTAAGCCAGGTGGGCCCCCCAAACTTCATACATGTTCCTATGTTGTCACACCAGATGCTAACATAAGTGTTCCAAGTTCTCCTTTGTCCCCTCCCCTGCTTTTATCAGAAAGCAAAATTAAAGCTCTTCTTGAGCTCTTTCCCTGTGGGAAAGATAATTTATCCTTTGGTTAACACATCAGGCAACAAAGATACAGCCTTTTATTGTGTTCAGCTTACATGTTAATATCTAATGTGGCTGATGTTTTACTGAACGATGATATTCTAAAATAGGGGGTGATGAAGCTGCCTCCTCTATCCAAAACCTGGGCTGGTTCTCATCCCTCACTGCTCTCTGGTCGGCTTTTCCCGCCCGTGGCTCCTCTCCCACTCACCACCACAGTATAAATTGCTGCCTTAATGAGTTCTTACGTTCCCACATCAAAGGATCAGGGACAAAAAAATTACATCACAGGAGCTAGATGAGGTTTTTATTATCTCTGCTTTGTTATTACTGACCTGGTTTTGTCTTGCAATAAACCCCATGTCATGCCTCTCCAAAGCTTTTCTACTCACAGGAAGACTGCTCCCGGCTCGGGGCAACCCAGGGAGACAGCTGTGACAGCAAGCAGGTGTTCCCAAGTGAGGGGTGAGTGGGGAGGGAAGCAAGTGCCCCTGGCTGTTAACATAAGTCTCACTTAACAAGAGCCCAAGAAGGGATATAGAGGGCAGGTGCTTGGGGGCATCTTCCTTCCTCCTCTCTCCTGTACAAGTGTGCTCCCACCACAAGGCAGAGTGTTGCAGAGAGGAAGGGTGCTACCTCCCTCCACCCTCTTGAGTCCTCTCCCAAGCAGTGGTTGTAACGAGCCACACACAGGGGCCATTCATTTCTCACCACCTCCTGCTTCCCAGTCCTTGAAGAACAGCCAGAGATTCAGGAATGATTAATATCCTAGCCCAGTTCCCAGAGGAGTCCTACCCATATGGAAGCATCCTTCCGAAAGCCAGAGTGCAGGGGAGAGGAGAGCAGCAGAAGAGTTCTGACACTCTCTGGCAGGTACATGGGCTGCCGGAAGGAACAGATGGTGGAGCTTAGGTGAGCATCCAGGAGATGCAGTCTTCGGGCTGTAGGAATGGGGCCGACCTCTTGGGAGGTGGCCACGCAGGACGGGTAGGGGAAGGGCTCTTCAGAAGGTGGTGGTCCTGGTGAGGGGGATGCGCTTGTGGCTGGGCTCTGGTTGCAGGGGTTCCTGCTGGCAGGGGAGCGGGGGGCACATCCACCCTGCCCCACCTCTGCTCTTGAGAGCAGTGGCATAGTAGTCCAGGGGCTCCTCGTCAGCACCGCCAGCACCTTCCAGGAGGCAGCAGCGCAGGCAGAGAACCCGCTGGAAGGATCGGCGGAAGTTGTCAGAGAGGAAACCATAGAGTACGGGGTTGGCACAGCTGTTGGCATAGCTGAGGATGAGGGACACGTGGTTGACGGTGGCATCAAGGCTGGTCACAAAGAGATTCAGCAGCTGCACTACGTAGAAAGGCATCCAGCAGAGCACAAAGACGGCCACGACCATCAGCACCAGCCTGGTGATTTTCTTCTCCGAGCGCCTGCGCTGCTGCCAGCCAGCGCGCAGGGCCACGGCCCGCATCTTGCCCACGATAAGCAGATAGCACAGGCCGATGGCCAGCACCGGCAGCAGGAAGCCCAGCAGGAAAGTGTAGACCACGAAGACTGCCGACCAGGCCGGGTGTGGCCAGTGCAGGTTGCAGGCCACGGCCTGGCCGCCGCGAGCCGGTCTGGTGTCTGCGAAGATGGCGATGGGGAGAGTGACCAGCAGGGACGCTAGCCACACGCCCAAGTTGATGAGCTTGGCCACGCTGGGCCGCCGGTAGGTAGCCGCGCGCAGAGGGTGCACCACCGCCACGTAGCGGTCCACGCTGAGCACGGTGAGACAGAAGACACTGGTGAACATGTTGAGGCCGTCGACGCTCAGCACCGCGCGGCACAGCACTGAGCCGAAAGGCCAGTGGCGCAGGGCGGCTGACGAGGCCACGAAGGGCACGCTCAGCATGAAGAGCTCGTCGGCGACGGCCAGGTTGAGCAGGTAGATGTTGGTAGCCGTCTTCATCTTGGCGTAGCGAAGGATCACGAAGATGACCAGGGCGTTGCCCACCAGCCCCACCAGGCACACCAGCGCGTAAATACA